AAAAATAAATAGCAATACTCCTACATTTTAAAAAAATGTGTGGTACAGGGGTAGGCGGGGGTCACACCCACCAACTGGCCCCCTGGCGCCGTGTAATCCCATCAACAGCCAAGACTCAGAGACTATAAAACCCAGCTCCTGGAAGAGAACAGCGCAGAATCTCCTGCCCCCGAGCCTGGCTGTCCTCGCCGGGGCCCCTTGGAGGGGAGCGGGTTGAGTTTTCCTCCCTGCCCCGACCAGGACTCCGGCAGCCGAAGACCTCCAGAACCAGCCACCACCATGCTGAGACCACTCTCCGCACACATGAAGGTACCGGCAGAGGAACAAAGGCATGCGGGTCCCGGGGCTGAGATCTCCAAGCCTACTCGGATCGGGGCTGAGCATCCTCCACCCAGATCCTCCAAATTCCAGTAGGATAATAGGATATCAGCCGCGCGATATCCTATTATCTCATTCCTACTTTGGACAAACTGGCAGACTACCGAATGTAACCTGCCCACACGGCAAAGTCTAGCAAACTCTCCGTGGCGTACCCAATATGCCCAATACCAGTAACAATGATGGGTCTCATTCTCCTAAAGAGCCTTGAATATGGCACTTTCTTAAAAATCTCAGGGCTACGATGAAGGAGACGTTACTGGGGCCTGCTCGAGGCAATCGACGAATAACAGGATGGTCGTGATCGTGATCATGATCGTGTAGTACAGGGAACACATTCAGCAGAGGCACAGTCATTCTTGTGCTCCCCAAGGGCATGCTTGCACATGTTCCCAGGGTCATACTCATGGCCATGGCACTTGCACATCTGTTTAGTTGTACTTGCTGGGGGTAGGGGGGGTCATACTTCAGTGAGGCTCACACACACTTGCTTGGTGCCAGGCCTGCAGACAGCAGAGTTGCCAATGTAGTGTTGTTGAACTTCGGAGATTTCAACATATGACTGTAAACTTGCAAGGAGGTATTCTCATTCTTTGTGCCATTCTTCTGAGCCTATGGTATCCTCACCAGTTAGTTTCCCCACTTCATCACAGATAAAAACAATGATCATTTGCATCCCCTTTTACCTGGCAGCAGAAAAGTCCCCCAGCAGCTGGACTGTGCAGTGGGGCAGAAGAAAAGGCCTGCTTTCTTTTAGTATTGTTTTTTGTTTTATGGCTTTCTGGCTACATGTCACATGGCACCTGGTCATGTTCAGGGGTTACCCCTGGCTCTGCACTCAGGAACTACTCTTGGCAGTGCTTGGGGTCCATATGGGATGCTAGGGATTGAACACAGGTCGGTCGTGTGCAAGGCAAACGCCCTACCAACTGTACTATATTGCTCCAGCCCCAGGAAGACCTGCTTTTGGTCTTGGTATGAGTGGCCCATGTCCCAGAGCCTGTCCTCCGTTCATCCTCGAAAGCTGGAGACACAGAAACCTTCCCAGGTACTGCTCCTGGTGCTCTGAAACCAGCCTGAAGATGTTAGGTGTTAATTTAATGGTGGGAATCAGAAAACTTGTGTGATTAGGGATGGTTGAACATGTTGAGAAAGGCTAAGAGGATTGAAAACATTTAGAAATATTCATTTGCAGTCACATCAGAGGGTGACTTGGGGTCAGTCTAAGTGGATTTATTGATTATCCTGATGCCTAATAACTACAACCCACTCTTCCTAAAGTGTGCTTCCCTATTCTCCTTCTCTGTAAAAACTTGTGACAGGGTGGGGAAGATGGCTGCTTTGTGACAGAAGTCCTTCATCTTCCAACCTCAGTACTGTGTTCTTTTGTGACCCATCACTATTTCCCTCCTTTGATTGGCATTCAAGTGGCAGCAGAACAGAGCTTTCATAGTTATAGTTTGAAAAGGCCAGTTGGGAGTGGAGTCTGCTATGGTGAGCTGACCCAGGACGAGGAAACTCTTGGGTGAACCCCTTGGTCGGCCTGGGGACTGTCCCCTCTCTTTCCTGAGACCACTCCTTTGTCTGTAAGTGGGATATTTGCCTTGGGCTGTGTGCCCAAAAAACTGTCAGACTTGGAGCACTTCTGCAAATGCTCTCTGGGAATAGGAATAATTGTGAACTTTTACCCTGAATCTGTTTGTGCCTGAGTAGCCATTTACATTTCTTATTTCCCAGGAAAAGAAAAAGTGCAACAAGAAAGGGGGATTTCGTGCACTGTCCATGTGATGCGTCATGTGCTGTTGCTATTTCGTGTTCAGAGAGTTCAAGGTAACTTCCTCATTTCTTGAGTTATGGGATCTAGTCTCCATCTTTCCTGTTATAAGACAGAAAACCAAAAGCAGCAAATTTTGCAGGTCTGATAGTCATTCTGGTTCAAAGATCTATGACTTTGCTAAAATTGTTAATATGTTGATGTTTTCCTTTTATTGTGTCTTATGGTGAGTGAAGTTTGGAAATAATTAGAATTATTAAATGTGAGTTTTATCAAGTCTTTTAACCTAGTTTTGGCTTTAATATAGCTAAGTTTTATTATTATATTTTTTTCCACCTTTGGTTTTTGGGGCACACCTAGATGTGCTCAGGGTTTACTCCTGGTTCTGTGCTAAGGGATTAATCTTGGCAGGGCTCAGGTAAGCAACCATATGGGATGCCAGGGATCAAATGAGGGTAAGCCATGTGCAAGCAAGCACTGTGCTATCTCTCTCTAGTCCTATTAGAGTTTTGAAATTTTGGCTACTTTGTTTAAATGGATAGTTAAGTATTATTTTCATGGTGATTTGTGTTTTAAACAAGTGTGAAACAAAACTTCCCAGAAATCAAAATTCTAAGAAAAAAGTATTTGGATGGTTAAAGTTAATATGAAAGGTCTCTGAAGGGCAAAGGCATCCTGTGATAATTACTTTCTCCCCTTATGAAAAGAGAAGTACATATGAATCAGGGCTATTTAGTACTTAAGTTTTCTTGGAAGCACTGTCACAGAAGAAATTCATTGGGAATCCCAAAGATCCTGATAATTATGATTAATTCTGGATATTTAGGGAATTGTATATCACTACTAAGCAAACTTCTTGTCAACTGTGCTTATAATATCTTTATTTATGAGCATTCTAAAGCCTTTTGCCATTTGTAGAATTATTCTGATATCTTGTTCAGCGTTGTTTATAGATATTGAGAGCTGCAGGCTTATTGGGGAACTGATGGTAAAAATGTTTTTGAAAAAAACTGGATCTTAGGGATGGAGCCATGGCATAGCAGGTAAGGTGCTCGCCTTGCATGCAGTCGACCAGGTTCAATCCTTGGCCTCCCATATGGTCCTCCAAGCACTGCCAGGAGTAATTTTTGAGTGCAGAGTCAGGAGTAACCCCTGGGCACTGCTGGCTGTGGCCTAAAAAGAGAGAGAAAAGAAAAAACTGAACTCCTAAAAATTTCAGCAGCTCAAGATTTTCTGTATTAGGCTAGATGGATTATTAAGACCAAACTTCAGTCTGAAGAAACCTGATAAATTATATCATACAACAAGTGGACTAAAATATTAGCTTTTCCCTTTTCTGGATACCTTTAGTATTTTGTGGGGGGGGGCAACTTTAGTATGTTTTTTAACACTTCATGGCAATGCCTATTTGCACAAGCATAGGAAGTCAGTATGTCCTTGTAATAGATAATCTGGGGATGTATTATTTCCAGAGACTGTCTGGGATGTCAGAGATAACTGTACTTTCGAAATTAAGGCTAATTTATCCCTAAATACAAGTATTTCGGGTAGATTCTAATAGTGAGTAATGTTTTATTATAAAAACCCGAGCCTTTGTCATTTAACTTGAGCTTCAGTTATCCTAAAATTGGCCTGAGTTCTTAACACCCCAAAATATGAGTCCTGCCAAGGCCCAGAGCAGGCTGCCATGTCACTCCATGTCCCAGGACAAGCTTTGATCCAAATCTGGGAAAACACCTTAGGACTCTCCGGGATTAGGAACCAGACCCACCTGAGGCCAGGCATTTGGAAAGGATGCCAAGATGCACCCGAGTCACTGTTGGTTAAAGAAAACTTCTGCTCCTGTTGACACTGGAACGAGGGAAGAAACTGGCCTCCAAGACCTAGAAATTGCTTCCCGGAACTTTCCCTTGGGGCTCAACGTGCATCTTAACTTTTTCAAGTCTTTTGCCAAAAACTCAAACGACTCCTCACATGGGCTCGTGCATCCTCATCCTCGGATATACCTTGGAACCAGAGAGACTGGTTCTGTGGAGGGACTGGACAAAGCGACTTCTGAGTTGCGGCGCTTCCCGGGGAGGTCCAAAGGCGAGACCATAAACAAACACGCATCGGCCGCGCCAAAGTCTGTCTCGCGTGAAAAGGCCCCGCTCCTGGCCCGGGCCTGAAGGTCGGGTGCGGCTCACCTCTGCGGGGACACCGGCCCCGGGCAGCTCGCTCCCGTCCACCCACCCCTGCCCCTCCCGGATGCACCGCGCAGGGGCGGCTCCGAGAGCCACAGCCGCCCGCGGAACGGCCCGAGAGCCAGCCTGAAGGGAGAGCACGGCAAGCGGCTCCTCGTCCTCCCGCGCCGGACTCCCGGGAGGGGCGGCCGGCAGGACGCCACTCGGGCCCGCGCGCTCGGATCGGACGCGGGCCGAGGCGACGGCCAGAGCCGGGGCCGGGTGGGAGGGCCCGGCCTGCGCTCCTGCTGGCCGCGAAAGCGAAAATCCGGGCGTCTCCGAAGGGCTCGGCACCGGCCACGCCGGCCGAGGCGGGGCGCGGGCGCGACATCCCGCAGACGCGGCCGGGCGAGCTCCGCCGTCCGGGGCGCGGGCGGCCGCGGGGCGCAGGCGCGGCACGTGACGCGCGGCCCCGCCCCCGCTCCGGACCCCGGAAGCCCGGCTCGGCCTTCAGCCTGTGCTTCGCCCGGCACCAGGTGAGCGGGGCGCCCTCCGGCACCGAGCCGCGGGCGGGGACGCCGACGAGGGGCGGCGCGGGGCGGGGCGGGGCGGGGCGTCCGGGCCGTGGGCGGCGGCCTCGCCCCCGGCCGCCGGCCCGGCCCTCACGGACCGCGCCTTCTCCTCAGCACTCGCGCGGGGCGCCGCCATGAGCCTGGACATCCAGTGCGAGCAGCTGACGGACGCCCGCTGGACGGAGGTCCTGCCGCTCATCCGGCAGTCCGAGGTGGTCAGGTAAGCGGGACCCCTCGCAGAGGCCGCCCGCCCGCCCGCCCGGCGGAGGCCGCTGTCCGGGGACCGCGCGCCCCTCGGGGCAAGCCCCTCTGCGGGCGCCTGAGGCCGGAGCGGGCGCAGTGGCACGACCTGGGCGGTGGCGGCTCTGCGGCGTCACAGTGGCCACCGCGCCCCCCCCGCGGGGTGCCCGTCGAGGCCCCTCCCCGAGGCTCAGCCCTCGCTCTGGTTCTGCCGCGGACACCCACACATTTCGGTGACCCTCGCCTCAGCCCGGCTCGGCAGCCCAGAGCTGGGCATCTCACTGGCCCTCACCGCAGAGCGACTTGGGTGTCGCTCGAGCTGGACATTCTCGGTGACCCTGCCCTCGGCATGACTGTGTGACGCAGAGCCGGGCTTTTGAAATTCCTTCCACGTTTCCTGACTCATTCTGTGAGGGAGGGCTGCCTGGCTCTCCCCAGCGTCTCGTGGCTCATCTCATCGGAATGAGCCTGTCAGCTTATCTTGTTCGGCCTCCCCCGCCCCGTTCCCCAAAGACTCAGACGCCCCTCACTGAGCCCCAGGTGCTGGGGCAGGGCGCAAGGGCTGGCTTCGCCTGTGGAAGTCGCGGGTTCACTCTGGCACCACAAGGTTTAGCCCCAACAATAAAAAAGACATTAGCCTGAAATCGGGCACAAAAGTGTCGCCTGGGGGGTGGGGGGATGAAGATGACAGAGAAGATGGGTGGGCAGAGCGGCTGATTGAGCTGACCTGGTGGAGTTAAGGCTTCAGTGTCCTGTGTGAGAAATCTGTGCTCTTCATCTCAGGGGAAAGACAAAGTTCTCAAAGAAGTAACCCAGGTCCACCCTGTTTGCCTTAGAATTTAGTGCCAGAGATAGAACTGGGGTTACCCCTAGCCCTTGCATGTCTACCCTGTTCAATCCCTGTGCCGCATATGGTCCCCAGTAATGATCCCTGAGCCCTGCTGGGTATAGCCTCAAACTAAATCTGAAAAAAAATTTTTTTAAAGAATTTACTTCCACATAAGCTTTAACAACGTGTGTTCACATGGTGCGAACAGCTCAGTTCCTCCTTTGCTAACCTGCTTCTGTCTGTTGCCCTAGGAGAACCAGTGGGCAGGGCAGGGCACTCCTGTCTTGGTACTGGTCTTTACAAGCCCTTGGTTTGGCTCGTGTGTTTCTGAGGCGCCACATCTGTTTCCTGTTGCCTTGTCTGGGTCTGGTGTATAGCCACATGCCTCCCAGTGCTTCATAGGAACCCCCCCCCCCCCATCCCCCAGGTCTCCCTTCAGAACATCTTGGTTGTGACTCACCTTGTGCGGTCATATCTGCCATTTAAAGTGACGTCTGGGGGCTGGAGCAATAGTACAGCGGGGAGGGCATTCGCCTTGCACACAGCTGACTCGAGTTCAATTCCCAGCATCCCATATAGTCCCCCGAGCACTGCCAGGAGTAATTCCTGAGTGCAGAGCCAGGAGTAACCCCTGTGCATCGCCAGGTATGACCCAAAACGAAAAATAAAGTAACCACTGGTCCTGTTCACAGACTGGACGACTGTGGCCTGACAGAGGGCCGCTGCAAAGACATCAGCTCTGCCCTGCAGGCCAACCCTTCCCTGACTGAGCTCAGCCTGCGCACCAACGAGCTGGGCGATGCTGGCGTGCACCTGGTGCTACAAGGCCTGCAAGCCCCGACCTGCAAGATCCGAAAGCTCAGGTGAGCCCAGTCTGAAGGGCGGAGAGGGAGGATAGCCTACCAGCACCCAGAGTCAGGTGCAAGTTCCAGCCTCAGTCCAGTGATGGTCACTCGTGGTCCCCTGCCCAGCCCAGCAGAGGGGAACAGGCAAGGCCAGGTTGTGCGTTGCCCTGTGCCTGCCTCACACTTACTGCTGGGCTATCCTCCAGCCTCCAGAACTGCTCCCTGACAGAGGCCGGCTGTGGAGTCCTGCCCAGTGCCCTGCGCTCCCTGCCCACCCTGCGTGAACTGCAGCTCAATGACAACCCCCTGGGGGATACAGGCCTGCGGTTGCTCTGCGAAGGACTTCTGGATACCCAGTGCCACCTGGAAAAGTTGCAGTGAGTCTCCCCACGCCCAGCTCTCAGTACAGCTGAGCTGTTCTGGACACCCCTGCCGCCCACCACCCAGCACCTTGCTGAGCACACAGATGCCCAGTTTGGGGCACTGTTATCTGGGTGGGGTAAGGCCGGCAGACACTATCCAGGAGGCTTGGGCCCAGCAGGCTGTCAGGTGAGAAACAAGCCCAAGGTCCTGTGGATCCCCAGGCTGGAATACTGCAACCTGACTGCTACAGGCTGCGAGGCCCTGGCGTCCGTGCTCCGGGTCAAGCCCAACTTCAAGGAGCTTGTGGTGAGCAACAACAGTATCGGCGAGGCGGGTGCTCGAGAGCTGTGCCAGGGCCTGGCCAAGTCCACCTGCCAGCTGGAGACGCTCAAGTAAGTGTGGGGCTAGGTGGACTGGCCTGGTAGATTGGTAGTGCTTTTCCAGCCTGGCAAGATGCACAAAGGGGCTTGTCCCATCAGCCGGACTGGACAGGGCTCGGCCAGTGCTTTTCCCCCAGTATTTCTGTCCTGCCTGGTGGTCACGTCACTTTGGGGACAGGTGCAGTTTTGTCTTTTGGCCCATACCCAGAGTGCTCAGGCATCACTCAGGCATCACTCCCAGCAGTGCTCCAGGCACCTGTGGGGTGCTAGGTGTCAAACCCACGTCGGCCACGTGTAAGGCAAGCACCTTACCCATTATACTACCTTTCCAGCCCCAGGTATAGTTTATTTACTTAGCTACTTCATTTAGTTTCTTGTTATGGGGGTCTCCAAAGTGGCACTCAGGGGTCCTGGAGCCATTGCTGAAGATATTCTACCAGTCAGGTTGGCAGATGAGTACTAGGACCCTGCACTGCCACTCTGCTCTGGTCACCCCCACCCCACTTCCCCAGGCTGGATAGCTGCGGCCTCACATCAGCCAACTGTAAGGACCTATGTGGCCTGATTGCCTCCAAGGCCTCACTGAGTGAGCTGGACCTGGGCTTTAACAAGCTGGGGGACGCAGGTATTGCTGAGCTCTGCCCAGGGCTGCTGAGCCCCAGCTCCCAGCTGAAGACCCTCTGGTGAGTTGGCTTCTGGGCAGTATCACTGACCCTGGCTGTGTCTGTGTCCATCCCTGCCCTCTATGCCCAGAGATCTGCAGCCAGTCAGGGGGGCTGACCTGTTCCTGGTGACACCCCCCCCTTAGGCTTTGGGAGTGTGACATCACCAGCAAAGGCTGCAGAGATATTTGCCGAATTCTGGGGGCCAAGGAGAGCCTGAAGGAACTCAGTCTGGTGGGCAACAACCTGGGGGACGAGGGTGCCCAGTTGCTGTGTGAGCGCCTGCTGGAGCCCAGCTGCCAGCTGCAGTCCTTATGGTACGTGGGCAGGGTGTGAGGGAGGTGCCTCATTCCCTGGCCACAGGTACAGGCCTGAGCGGGGCAAGGGGTGGTGGTGGTGGTGGTGGTGGTGGTGGTGGTGTGTGTTTAAGTCTGAGGAGTGGTGGTGGTGGTGGTGTGTGTGTAGGTCTGGAGTGGGAGGCGTAGTCCTGGGGGTAGGGTGTGTGTGTGTCACTGGGTGGGAGCCACAGGGGCTAGGCCTGGCTGGCTCCAGTGTGGGCCTCACAAATGCAGGGTGTGTGTGTGTTGGGGTAGGGGATGTAGGGGTAGGCCTAGCTGGCTTCAGCATGCTCCTGTGGGCACAGGGTAAAGGAGTGCAGCTTCACCGGCGCCTGCTGCCAGCACTTCAGTGCGGTGCTGGCCCAGAACAAACACCTTGTGGAGTTGCAGTTGAGCAACAACAAGTTGGGGGACACTGGTGTCCAGCAGCTCTGCCAGGCCCTGTCCCAGCCCAGCACAAGACTGCAGATACTCTGGTGAGTACAGTGTGCATGCACTGGGATCCTGGCCAGGCCACCCCTCCTAGCTTCCCTCCTGCCTGAAGTAGGGCAGTGTGCCCCCGTTCACACAGCTCTGCAGGATACTTTGGCCCAGGCCTAGCCTTGATGCTTTTCTGATTTTGTCGCTAACCCCACAACTGCACTCTCTTACCTACCCCTTCTGTCAGTCTTCTGCTCCAGTTTTCCTTTCTGTCCTGTGCTGTGTCTGAGGTAGTTTCCATGCACCCGCTTGTCTTGGGCTGGCCAGTGGCTGAAGGCACTGGATAAGGGACCCTGAGGCTGAGGGCCTTTCTGAAGGTCCCATCCTGCTGCCAGGTCTTACCCAAACCCTCAGTGGCTTCCTGAGCTTCCTCACCCATTTGCTCAGCCGTATACACCTCACCAAATTTGCAGCCTGTTCAGACCTCCTCTGAAGCCCCTCCAAGGAGTCAGCCCCTTCCATCTGCTCCTGTCTGCTGCTTCTGGTCCACCTCAGGGGCTAGCCACCTCCCTCCGTCTGTTCCTATCTTCTTCTGGTTCATCTTGTGGGAGTCAGTCAGGCTCCTCAACCTAGAGCATGCTGAGCAGGCACAGGGGACTGTGACAGGGCCGTACTGTCTTCCCCAACCCACATTTCAGGCGGTCCCATGGTTGATGGCAGCCAGGGAGCTTCTGTCCTAGCCTGTGCCCTTTTTGCCACCTAGCCTGGGGGACTGTGAAGTGACAGACAGCAGCTGCAGGGCCCTTGCTGCTCTCCTCTGCACCAACCAGAGTCTGAAAGAGTTGGACCTCAGCAACAATGGTCTGGGCGACCCCGGTATCCAGCTGCTAGTCACCAGCCTGGAGCGTCCTGACAGCCACCTGGAACAGCTCGTGTAAGTACAGCCAGGGATGTCACAGCTGGGTGGGATGTGAGGTGCATGCCAAGACCCTGAGCACGGCTCCCCCTGCCTCCTGCAGCCTGTATGACATTTACTGGTCGGAGGCTATGGAAGATCGCCTACGGGCCCTGGAGGAGAGCAAGTCCAACCTGAAGGTCATCTTCTGAGCACCCCCACTCATCTCCCGCCCTGTAGCAGCCGTGCCTTACCCCCACCTGGGGCCTTCACGCTTGATTCCTAGCTTTGAAAAAACAGATCAACAGCTCCAAGAGAATGTCAGACTTTATCACCATTAAAGCACTGTTGCGGCATAGGGCTGCTCGTCCCTCCATGGCAGGTCCTGCATAGAGCTGTCAGGTCAGCTGGGCACACCCCAGGAGCCTCTGCTCCCTGGGCACAATACCCATTGTGGAGTGAAGACTGCCTCCTCTCCCACACACACAAAGGACAGGATTGTGCTCCAAGGCCCTGCCCCACAGTAGCCGGTCTGCTGTGGCCTTAGCCAGGCAGTACCCCAAACACTGCCTCACAGTAGCTGGTCTGCTGCGGCCTTAGCCGAGCAGTGCCCTGTAGATGGCAGGACAGCCACTGGGCTTATTTCCCTACGGCCAGTCAGCACAGGGACCACGGCAATGGTCCTTTGTGGCCCTCAAGATTCGGCAACTCTCATCAGGTCTGGCACCTGGATAGCAGGTTTGGGTTTGCTTCTGTCAGCTGTACAGAGCCTCCCTAGACCCCCTGGAAGAGGGGAGGAATAAGGTCCCACAGCCATTCCCACAGGCTGAATAGGAAGGAAGAGTGCCCAAGGGGTCAGAAGCCCAGGCCAAGCAGGTGTCCCTTCCCATGAACACAGCCATGGCTGCAGCCTGGCCTGAGGAGTGGGGCTGGGACTAAGACTCCAGGACACTCCTGGTGGTCCTTAGCCAAGGTCACACTGCCAAAGCAGTATGAGCCCACAGATCCAGGGCCAGCAATAGGTTCCCCTACTGAGCATGACCTTCAGGCCCAAGCCTGTGTGCAGAAAACAGGAGGCTAAGACTCGCCTGACTCAGGGCTGTCACCCACCAGCCCTAGGCGTGTCAGACATCTCTGCCCTCTGCTGTGGCTCAAGGCCAGGAACAAGCCAGGAAGCTGCAGAACTTCACTGCTGATTTATTTGTTCTGTTTGCTCATAGAGATGATTCTCAACTCATCCACAGAGACTCCAGCCCTCCCCCAGTGGGTAGGGACAGAGGACACAGGGCAGAATCCATGCCATCCTGGCTCTGACCCACTGTCCTTCCTAAGTGGGGCCGGGCTGTCTGGTGACAAGGATCCTGGAATCCAGGAAGACAGACCAGGGGCATCCGGCCCGGCAGCTTCTGGAGCTGCTGCTCACACACAACTGCCTGGCCACGAGTACATATGTTAACTGGTACACACACGCACACACCAGCCAGGCTCGCAGCCGTGTTCGGCCACTATGGTCCCCTCGGAGCACAGCAGTGTGCGCTGGAGGGCAGTGAAGCCTCAGGGCCGAGGCCTGTGAGGATTCTGGCGGGAATCACAGGGTGCAGGGGCAGAGGGAATGGGCCCAGCAGGTCCCTGGATGCAGGTCAGTTAGGAACTGGCGCCCCTTCCTGTTCATCAACTCCAGGCTCTTCCGGGCCTTGCTGGTGTCCATTGCCCAGGGCGCCATCCTGGTCTGCCCTGCTCTGCTGCTTCTGCCTTCGGGTCTCCTTGTAGCGCAGGGTGATGTCCCTGTGGGCAGGGAAGGAGCCTCAGCACTGGACTCTGGCGCCACCCAGAGGGGCTGGTGTGGGAGAACCGCCCAGGGCTGGAGCTCACCGTAGGAAGAAACGCCACACGGTCCAGGTGAGCACGAGCACGGAGCCGAGTGTCCAGCACTGGGAGATGTAGAAGGGCAGTGAAAGTGTGAGTGTGTGCGGGTCGTACTTGACCACGATGAGCAGCTCAGTGACTGTGATGGCCGCCACCAGCCAGGCCTGCTGCCCCAGCTTCTTGTGCAGTTTTCTGTGGACAGTGGCAGTGTTGGGAGTGGAGAGAAAGTGATGGGGACCTGAGTGGCCGGGAGGGCACAGCCCTGACCCAGCCCTACCCCACACTCACGGGTCGTCCATGAAATCATAGATCTCGCGCATGGCCACACCGCCCACATTCACAAAGAAGACCAGTCGCAGGAGGACCAAGAAGTGCTCAGGGGGCATCCACAGCACAAACTTCAGATAGAAAGTGTTGAGCTCTGCCAACAGAAACTGGGGGACAGTGGAGGGTGGGCGGGGCCCAAGGCCAGGAGCCGCGCGCAGGAGGCCGGGGCCTTACCACCAGGATGATGCCGCACACGGCCAGCCAGCGGCGCAGGCTGGAGGCTGGCCTCCACTCGAAGCGCACCCAGCTGTAGGGCGTGAACTGGAAGGCAATCCGCTTCATCTTGCCCCTGGGACCACAAGGGCATCAGTCTGCTTGCAGGGGCCCAGCTCTTCTGTTCACAGGCAGCCCCAGTACTCTCAGGCCTCTTCTTTCAAGTCCCCAAACTAACAGCTGGCAACCACTTCTAACAACAGGATGGCCAGGGAGTTGACCCCAGAAACCACCCGAGGAGTTGGTTGGGGTGCAGGAATGACAGGAAAAAGGAAAGGTAACCCACAGCAGGGAGGTAACAGAAGACTAAGTCCTACCCCAAACCCTCCCAAGGCCAAAGGTACAGGACTGCAGACGTACTTGTAGGTTGGAATGTTCCAGAGGCCTTGCCACTTGTACGTCTTCATGGACAGCCACTCAAGGGTCTTCATGCCACAGTAGATGCCCAGTCCATTGCAGACCAGCACATCCATGATCCACTGGGGGTGGAAGAAGGCAGGAAGTGGGTGCCTTAGATGCCCACCCAGACCTGGCGGGACCCACCAATGCTGGGGATCCCAGCTATAGGAAACCTACATGGTCCCACCAGCACTCGCTGAAGTTGGGCAGCTGGTGCTCAAGGCTGTACTCCAGGAACTCGAACATGACGCTCACGATGGTGCACATCCACCAGTCACGGATCATCAGGGTCTGTGGACAGAGGCAGCTCCTCCAGGGACACAGCGTGGGGCCCCCAGCTCAAGTGCTCTCCGTAAGAGCCTCTAGCATCCAGCTGCCCACACGTGTGTCCAGCTGCAGAGTCAAGGCCCCCCCAGGCAGTTGCTCCCCCTCTCCCTGACTGAGGCCTCAGTGAGGGTCAGTCCTATAACAGAGATGAACTTAGAACACAGGAAGTCATGCCCTCTGAGGCCACCTTACCTTCAGGTACCAGCCAATGAAGTGCGCAGGCACAAAGCCATCCAGCTTGTCCTGTGGGTGACAGCACATAGGCCTGGCACATGTCCCTCCCCTGCAGCTCACTTTGGGGGTAGCCAGAGTGACTCCCCAGCCCTGCCAGTGTTCCCCAGGGACAAAAGGAGTATCTTGTGGCTGTGAGCAGACACCTGACCATGAGCAGGCAGCTGCCCCCACACACCTGCCATGAGGAGAAGGGTTCAACCCAAGGCACTGGGCCAGGCAGGAGTGAGGCTAGGCCACCCCCTGCCAACCCGAACATCTGCAAAACCATGGGCTTAGGTTGAGAAACCGCTGCTCAGGGGCTCACCCACCCTTAGCTCAGCAGCTGGACAGTGGTCAGAGGGCCTGCAGGTACTCACCCAGACGTTGTGGAAGGGATCAGTCTTGTTGTCTGCATCATAGATGAGGCAGTTTCCCCCGTAGTCCCTCTCTGGCAGGGGGACCCCCAGCCTTGGGTCCACATACTTCAGAAACTGACGGCCGTCGTGGACAGTCTACATACAACACCCTCATCAGCTGGACTATGCCACACTGAGCTGAGTGATGCCACCCCAGCTTGTCCCAAGCCATCACAGATGACATCAGTCTGGCAAAGTACCCCCCTGCCCAGGAAGACCAAGGAAACCGCTCAATGCACAAAAACATCCCAAAGACAGTCTAGGGAGTCTACAGAAAGGCCTAAGCAGGGAGCCTGTGCCACACAAGGAGCACCCTAGTCCCGCTGCTCCCCTCACACAGTGAAGAAAGTGGTCACCAACACAGTGCACACGGCAGGGGTGATCATCAAATGTCCAGGAATCAGGGGTGGCAAAAAGCCTCAGGAAGAGGCCAAGGCGCGGGGGGTGGGGAGGAAGCAGACAAAGTCCAGGGAGAGGTCACTGAGGGAAACCAGGCAAGTCTGGACTCACACACGATTGGCAAATGTGCTGAAAAATAAACTACTTTCTCATTCCCTCTTCACCACTGTTGATGATGCTTTATTTTGTCAAATCATTGTTATGGGCTGCAGAGAATAGGCAGGCAGGCAGGGTTATTCTCAGGACAAGCTGCCTTGTACACAACCAATTCTCTCTCCCCCTGCCTCATACTCCTGCGATAAAACTATTTTACTTTGCAAAAAAAAAAAAAAACCAGGAGAAACATCAAAGTGCAATTCCAGGAAGACGCCTATAGGCCCATTAGGACCTCGGAGGAAGGCCAGTCTGACCCCTGTGCCGGATTCCGAGCATATGGGGTGAAATGTGGACCACAGGCCCCGGGCAGGCAGGGCGCCCAACTCATCTCCAGTAACACTGTACAGAAGGCTCTGCTGAAACAACCGTATTTCCACATACAAGTAAGTGTCAAGGGCCAGGCGGATGGTCCTGGGGCTCCCCAGCTCCACATGGCTCAAGCCATGCTACCTCCTTGGGCCCTGGCTCGCCTGCCCACCCTGAGTGCCATTTGGGAGGCCCCCCAAAATAAATAACAGTATAGAAACTACAACTGGAGCTAGAGTGACAGGACAGCAGGAGGGTGCTTGTCTTGCATATGGCTGACCCGGGTTTGATTCCTGGCATCTCTTATGATCCCCCAAGCACTGCCAATAAGGCCTGAGCACTGCTGAGTGTGGCCCAAAAGAACAAGAAAGCTGTACCTGCTCCCAAAGTGAAGTGACCACCAGAAAGCAGAACAGGAACCAGGTGTAGGAGCAGAGTGAGGATGAGCACTGGTTGATCCCAGTCCACTCTGGCTCAGTGTCCTATCCAGCCATGTGCCCCACCCCGCCACCAGGACGTGCTGAGACCAGGGACCAACATGCAACCCACCTACCTACCTATGCCCACCTACCTGGAAGAGGATGAAAATGAGGAAGAGCTCATAGACCACACTGACACAGAGCCAGAACCTCCAGTAGGCTGTGAGACAAAACAGATGGTTAGCCCCATCTCAAGGCGAGCACGTGGGTGTCTATCTCAGCAGGGGCCTCTGCTGCCATGCGCTCTGCTCCCCACATAGGTCTCCAGGAACACAACAACACTGGAGATGCTGGCAGGAGGCCTGGGAGGGTCTCCTCAGGCCAAGGTTTAGGGATTGTCCTCAGCATGAGCAAACAGAAGCCCTTATTTATGCACTGAGTTTGCATTTCAGAGGATCACCTCTTCCTTGCACATGATACCAAACCATCCTTTTTATCTGGAATAACCAACTCGGAAGCATTTACTGTTTTGAGTTTTGTTTTTTGGTTTTAAACCACAACCCACAGTGCTCAGAACTCATCCCTGTGGTACTCTAGGGACCATGTGGTGCCAGGGATAGACCCAGGCCTCCTGCATGCAAGGCTCTGCCAGCCCACAGTGCTAGAAGCAGCAGTGCCTTGGGTTCCATTTAGAGCTTGTGTGACTAATAGACAAGCTTGCCATGGCCCCAAGGGGCTCAGAGCCACCTATGATGTTCCTTTCATTCACAAGAACTCAGATGCTGTATAGCACATTCTGGTACTCCATGTCCACCAGGCCTCCCTGAACCCTGCCCTGCCACGACTCCCTCTCCACTTCAGGCTGCCCACACTACAGAGGACAGCAAGAGTGAGCATACCCTCCCGACTCCTGTTCTCCTGTGGCAGTCATAGGTGCTGCCTTCCCTCGGCTCCAGTCACAGCAGTTCCCTGGACTGACACAGCAGGGTCACAAGCACAGGTGACTGAGGCCACAACGGGGTCTGGAATTGTCCGCCGATGACCTCTCCACATGCTCTGGAGCTTTGTGGGCACTTGGACAGGTGAGGGCTAAGGAGGCTCCATCTCCAAGCCCAGAAGGCTGCTGTAGCTTGTTGGCTGGGGTGGCTTTCCCAGTCACAGGCAGAGTTCTGCACAGCCCCTGCCTCTCTCCTCCAGCTGGCCCTGGTCCTTCACGACGCACCTGCTACGCTGACCAGAACCAGCCTGCCACACCCTCTGCCAGGGCTCATGTCCCCTTCTCTCTCCAGGGTTGTTCTGCCACCCTCAAGCCACCCCAAACTTACTTCATCTTTCTGGACACCAAATCCAGCTGCCATGACCCCCGCCCACACTCCAGTCCTCATGTGCCCAGGTGTCGGGAGCACAGGGAGCAGGGCTACGGGGCCAACAGCAACCCTCCCCGGTCAACCACCCCCACCCCATCTCCCAGCAGCAACTGCCACTGCCCAGGGTTCCCTGGACAGTTCCGAGGACGTCCTGACCATTGAGACACAGAGACTATTGGGGGAGCCCTAGTACCATCAAACCAGAGCCAGATCAAGAAACGCAGTCCTCACTCAGAAACCTCGTTGGAAAGGTCCAGACAGGCCATGAGAGGCCATGGCAGAAGCTTTCAGATGGAGTCCTGCAACCAGAGTCCAGGTTCATCAGAAGCCCCTCCTGGGCCCAGCACAGGTGTCTGTCCTGAGTCTGTCTGTCCAGGTTGGTTCATGTCCACGCGGGCAGTCCCCACAGCACCATCCACACTCTCAGGGCTCCACAGCCCCTTCCCTGTGGCCGGACGGCAGGGTCCACGTTCCCACCCTCTGGGCCCCCCAGTGAGGGGCAACATGAAACCCTTCCCACACAGCTCCTGGCTCTGGGCAGTCCACATGCACCTAAGACGGTCCACCTGCTGGGCCCAAGCCAGCCTCCAACCCTGTTCTTCCTGGGGCCCTGAAGGAAGGAGGCTCCTCTAGTGCCAGCTGACCACAAGGACACTATGGGTCCATCCCCACAGCCACAGAACCCAGCCCAGACGTGTGCTCCCAGCTGGGATGTACTGGTGGGGCCTGTGGACACACCAAAACACACCCAGACTTAAATGGTCATTTCTGTGAGGGACCTTTATTGCAACCAAACTTTTCTGGCGTCTTCCAAATCAAACACAGCACACACCCGAGTGAGATAAAACAGAGAGTCACTGAAGCAGGAAAACTGACCGACCACAGCCCAGAGCCACCTTCTGGGTGAAGCCACCTTCTGGACACGCTGAGTCCCCGGGGAGGGAGGAACAAGGGCTTAGGGGGGACACAACACATGAAAAGGGGCAGGAGGGAGAACCTCGAGCTGGACACAGAGAGAACTGGGATCAGTGGCATCTCACAGTCCAGCTGACCTGAGGTCCAAAAGAAATTGACCCTGAAGAAGGCAGGTTCAGGGACTGACCCTGAGAGATCAGGTACAGGGACTGACCCCAGGAGACTGGGTGAAGGGACTGACCCTGGAGAAAGCAGGTACAGGGACTGACCACGGGAGACAAGGTGCAGGGACTGACCCTGGGGAAAGCAGGTACAGGGAATGACCCCAGGAAAGGCAGGTGCAGGGACTGACCCCAGGAGACCAGGTACAGGGACTGATCCCAGAGAAGGCAGGTGCAGGGACCGACCTCGGGAGATGGGGTACAGGGACTGACCCTGGGGAAGGCAGGTACAGGGACTGAGCCCGGGGAAGGCAGGTACAGGGACTGACCCCAGGAGACCAGGTACAGGGACTGACCTCGGGAGACCGGGTGCAGGAACTGACCCCGGGGAAGGCAGATGCAGGGACTGACCCCAGAAGACCAGGTATAAGGACTGACCCCAAGAGATCAGGTGCAGGGACTAACCCAGGAGAACAGGTGCAGGCAGATACAGGGACTGACCCCGGTGAAGGCAGGTGCAGGGACTGACCCCGAGGAAGGCAGGTGCAAGGACTGACCCTGGGAGAACAGGTGCAGGGACTGACCTCGGGGAAGGCAGGTACAGGGACTGAACCTGGGGAAGGCAGGTGTAGGACTGACCCCAGGGAAGGTAGATGCAGGGACTGACCCCAGAAGACCAGGTACAGGAACTGACCCTGGGAACCAGGTACAGGGACTGACCCCAGGAGACCAGGTGCAGGGACTGACCCCAGGGAAGGCAGGTGCAGGGACTGACCCTGGGAGAACAGGTGCAGGGACTGACCTCGGGGAAGGCAGGTACAGGGACTGACCCCTGGGAAGGCAGGTGCAGGGACTGACTATGAGGAAGGCAGGTACAGGGACTGACCCCGGGGAAGGCAGGTACAGGGACTGACCCTGGTGAAGGCAGGTACAGGGACTGACCCCGGTGAAGGCAGGTACAGGGACTGATCCCAGGGAAGGCAGGTGCAGGGACTGATCCCAGGGAAGGCAGGTGCAGGGACTGATCCCAGGGAAGGCAGGTGCAGGGACTGACCCCGAGGAAGGCAGGTACAAGGACTGACCCCGGTGAAGGCAGGTACAGGGACTGATCCCAGGGAAGGCAGGCACAGGGACTGATCCCAGGGAAGGCAGGTGCAGGGACTGACCCCGGGGAAGGCAGGTACAGGGACTGATCCCAGGGAAGGCAGGTACAGGGACTGATCCCAGGGAAGGCAGGTACAGGGACTGATCCCAGGGAAGGCAGGTACAGGGACTGATCCCAGGGAAGGCAGGCACAGGGACTGATCCCAGGGAAGGCAGGTACAGGGACTGATCCCAGGGAAGGCAGGCACAGGGACTGATCCCAGGGAAGGCAGGTGCAGGGACTGACCCCGGGGAAGGCAGGCGCAGGGACTGACCCCCAAGGAAGGCAGGTACAAGGACTGACCCCGGGGAAGGTAGGTACAGGGACTCACCCCGGGAGACCAGATGCAGGGACTGAATCCTGGAGACCAGGTACAGGGATTGATCCCAGGGAAGGTAGGTGGAGGGACTGACCCCGGGAGACCAGGTACAGGACAGAGGGAGTACCTGACCCAGCAGCCCGCCAGCAGACAGCAGAGGCCTGGGCAGTTCAGGAAGACCAGCACCACGCCAGCACCACTCCTCTGTTGGGAGGCTCTGCAGAAACGCCTTAAAGAGGCTCTTGCCCACAGCCCAGAGGCCACCCACCCGCTCGAGACACGGGTGGCGCGCAGGACAGAGTCCCACGCACAGGCACACGCAGAGAGCAACATGATTACCTGGGTGAGGTCTGGAAAATGGGCCGTCTTTAGCTTGTGTGACTCCAAAACATAAGAAAACCAAAATACTGGCCACAATGCCTCTGCAACAAAGAACAAAGAGCCTGAGTGTCCGCTAGCCCTGCAGGGGAAGGGGAGGGAGACCCCCGCAACCCTACACCCCTGCCCCTGCAGGGGCACAAAGGCACCCCCAAAACATCAGAGCTTGGTGCGTGGGCTTGCTCCAGCCCCACATCCGAGAACAGGTCCAGCACCATCACTGCAGCCAGGCGGGCACCGGCACCTGCAGGCCAGAACGAGGGGCACAGAACGGCGGGGGAGGTACCCACATGGCAGCACAGGGTCAGCACACCCATCGCCTGGCACCCTGTCTTCCTCACAGAGCTGGGGGACCCCTCCAGAGGCTGAGCCCTCCAGAGGACGCCCCTTCCACGGGCCCAGGGCAGGCTCCAAGGGGCAGGCAGGTCTTCCCCTTGGACAGCCGGCCAGGGCACTGAGTCTATGGACAAATGTCCAGGGACCCAGAGCCTGAGCCCCCAGACTGAAGAACACCCGAGGAAAGGTGGGACAAGGGTCAGTCTCAGTCTGAAAACAGGCGGGCAGACCACCCAGCCCCGGCCACCCAGCTCACACCTGCAGCAGACACGGGCATGTCAGGGCAGAACCCTGAGCCCCAGGCCCGCCTGCCAGTCCTGCCTCCTGACCAATCTCATGGCACTCGGGGAGCCGCAGGCCAAGGCAGCACTTGTCTTTACCTTTTCTGATTTGGGGATCACTCCAGGCAGTGCTCAGGGAACCAGAGGGGCCAGAGGCCAAACCCAGGCCTCCTGCATAAGCTCAAGCCCATGAGCTCCCCGGCCCACAGAAAGCAGATGGCCATGACCAGAACATTTAGGGGATGGTCTGAGCACAGCAGGCAGATGCTTCCCTGCAGACAGCCCACCCAGGTTCGATCCCTGGCACTCCCGGTGTGGCCCCTCGAGTCTCAAGTCTGTTTCAGGACAGAAGCTACACAGCCTTGACGCCACCAATGGCACCCTCCTGTGCTGGAGACCACCTCTCTCCCCGACACCCTCGGCTGAGGACAGACCTGGGCTGGATCGATACTTGGTCGCATCCAACACAGGCTCTGGCTGCTCTGTCCCCTCCATGCACTTCTGAGGAACCCAACAAGATGCTATCGACAGCAGCCCTGGACACAGCTGCCTAACCAGGGCAGGCTGTGGACCCCCACGTGTGCGCTCCACCCACCAGCAGGATGGGGGCACTGCACACTGGCCTGCGGTGCCCACAGTCCCACAGACAAATTACCACACCTGCAACCCCTGGAACCTCTGACCCACTGCTCTCGGGCAACGCAGGAACTGTGGGGGACAGCGCACTGAGGCCATACCTGCTCCTCCCCGTACTCTCGCTCGTGTAGCTGTGGCAGTCCCACTGTCTGGCTCCCTCCTGCAGGCCCTGCCCTAGGCACTCACCCCCCGCCTGCACCAAGGCCACTCTGGGCTGCGGGCATGTGGGCCAGCATGGGCTCTTGCAGACCTCACAGCCACATGCCTCCAGAATGCCGCAGAGGCCAGACCTGCTCCATCCACACAATGGCACACATTCCCAGTGGCTCCGGGCACTGGACACCACTGACCCCTCCACCTATCCAGGGCACTGTCTCAGAGCCGCTGTGGACACTGTAGCCGTGGGAGGTAGAAGTCACCATCTGTGCCCCCAAGGCGCCCCACTCTGACCTGCCCATCAGGGACAGGGTGAGACAGGAAGTGACTGCACACAGATTAGGGGTGAACAGCACCCAAATCCAGACAGGCCCAGCAGGGACTGGGCACCTCGGTCCTGCACCCAGCAGCCCAGCCACCACCGAGCGGGTCCCTGAGGAAGAGGAGCAGTGCCAGGTGTGGGGGACGTTCCGGGAAGGTGGCCCTGCACCCCAGCACGGCCCGTGGGCCGTTTCCACCCTGCATGGGTGTGTTCAGAGAACCACGTTCCCTTCAGAGAGGCCCCACACAGCTCCAGTTCTACCTAGAATAGTCACCCACAGCTGTAGCCAAGGCCATTCCCAGACCCCTGGACAGGCAGGGCAGACTGACCGTGTCAGGGTCAGGAGACAGGAAGGTCACGATCCACAGGGCACAGGTAGGTGCACACTCGAGGCAGACAAGGCTCGAGCCTGAGGGGCTATTCAGAGCCCGCAGCCCCAAGTCCTCTGCTGAGAGCAAAGGCAGAACCACCAGAACTGACCAAGGCCTCTGCCCCACGCGGGAGCCCGGGACCTGCAGGCCCTGAGACACTCAGCATGGCAGAGGGGAGCCGCACACAGGCTAGTGCCTCCCCAGCCTGCACAGGCCCTGAGCAACGCCAGGTGTGCAGCCCACCAGCACAGACCAGATGAGGCCCGGACAGAGCACAGCCAGGATGCCAGCCTGACAGCCTCTCCGGCAGGGTACTGCCAACACAGCCTGAGTGGCCAGAGCCCTGGGCCCTACGGAGACAGCCCGGGCACAGGGGAGTGGAGACGGCCCAGCCCGGGCACTGAGGGCACTGCGGAAGGTAGCAGCTCCTCACCTCTTGGTGTTGTAGGCTGTGTCCCGCGGCGTCTCCTCCAGCAGAGTCACATAGCCCAGCACACAGGTGAGGATGAAGAGTACGGTGAGTGTGTGGGCACGCCTGGAACCCAACACAGACTTGTCAGCTCCTGCCTTGACTCGGTGCTCCCTGCCAAGGGGCCAGGAAGAGGCCAACCAGAGGCTGTGCAGCAGCAGCTGTCTCGGGTCTGGGCACTGTCACAGAAGCTGCCAGCCCTGCTGACCACAATGGAGCCGGCCACAAGTCAAGCCCGAGGAAAGAGCAGAGAGCAGAGCAGCAGGCCCAAGCGAGATGGTGCATCCACAGGCTACATGCTCAGGGCTGCAGAGTGCTGGGGGGGGGGGGGGGGTCCAGCCACCCCCTACCCCGCTCAGGCCAGACCACATGCCCAGGGTGAGAGGGAGTTCGATGGATACCATTCACTGGAACCAGGGCCCATAGCAGCCAAATACCCAGCAGGATAGGCAACACATATGCATGCACGTGTGCACACATGCCATTACACATGACTGTTCATATGCACACATCACAAATCATACATGATCTCACAAGCACATGTATGCACACACCATCATACTAATACACACAATCCCATATGCATGATCACACATACCATTACTTAAAACCACACGTCAACATTATGCACATACCATCACACAGAAATTACATACGATCCCACATACATACATACATGCATATGTATACATATGCCATTACACACTACCCCAGCACAACCACACACACGATCACTCTGTGCACACATGCCATTACACACTACCCAGCACGGCCACACATATGATCACGTGTCGCCACAATCAACTACATATGACCCCATGCAACACACATGTGCACGCATACCAATTACACGTGATTACATGTACAACCACACATGAACAATCACGTGTGCACATTTGCATCATCACACCAAATCACATGCATGATCGTCCACACACGAGCTTTGCACACATGCTAATTACACATATGATCACACAGTACCAATCACAGGATCCCACACGCATGCACACAGTTCCGTGTGGCACAAACATAAACATGACACCGGGAGGCCTTGCCTGCCCTTTTGCTTTTCCAAGTGCCTTTAGAAGGCGTGACGGCCCTTTCCCGAGAAATCAGTAGAGCGTGTCCTTGGAGAAGCCACCATCCGCTAGACACGGCTTCCTCCTCTCTCAGCCGGGACGCTCGAGGACGTAGAGAACAGAGGGGCTAGGCCTGGACCATGGAAGACGGAGGGGTTGGGCCTAAACTTGAGGCCGCCCTGGCCACGCCACTGGGAAAGCCACTCTCTAGGACCCAAAGGATACGACAGAAAACGCAAACAGCCACTAGACAGCCAGAAAGAGGAGCGTGTCCTGGGGGGTAAAGTGGGTGCTTCCAGTACCCACCACAGTGCAGGTGGCCAGACCAGCACTTGGTGGAAGCCCAGAGCTGAGACAGCTCCGAAGCACTTGCCCTCCTTCCAAATGCCCCCAGGTGCTGCTCGCAGAGAAAGGACAGTTCCTGACTCCTCAGCACACGCTCAGGGCGAGCCCAGAGGCTGGGACGCCAGGCTAAAGGTGTTCAGAGAGCCTGAGCCGGTGCAGGAGAGGCAGGGGCTGGAGCTCAGGAAAGGGGCCCGGCTGACAGGGCTCCACACCTGGAGCCAGGGCGCCCGCGGCCTAGTTTTTAAGTTTGAGACAACCGACCGGGCTTAAGACAATTGGAAGCAAAAGTGCCGCCACAAGGGTATGGATTTGACTCAGAAACAAGTCAGGACCCATACTGAAAACAATTCTTTTGGGCTGGAGAGAGCGCAATGGAGTTAAAGCGTCTGCCACAGGCGACCAACCCTAGCTCTAGTGGGTACGGTCCCCAGGGCACCACCAGGGTTCACCTCTGGGCACTGAGTCTAAGGAATGGCCCTAAGGCTAAGGCCACCCTTGCGCCTCAGAAGCTGGAGAGTGGAGGCTGGAGCGGTAGCACAGCGGGTAGGGCATTTGCCTTGCACACAGCCACCCGGGTTCAATCCCCAGTATCCTATACAATCTCCCCAGCACAGCCAGGAATAATTCCTGGGCGCAGAGCCAGGAGTAAGCCCTGTGCATCGCCGGGTGTGACCCAATAAATAAATAATTAATTTTAAAAAATAAAAAAGAAGCTGGAGAGCATAGCCTGACACCACAAAGGGACTGGTGGTATGGCTCCAGGCACGAAACCCAGGCAAGGCCAAGGTCCCACTGAGCCACACTCTCAGCCCACAGAAAGGAATTTTTACAGAAAAAGAGAAGTAGAGTTTTAGGGGTGGGCATGGGGGGTGGGGTGCTGCAGCTACAGTGCCAGAGGTCCACAAAGCCCCAAGACGGCAATCCGGCGTCTGCTAACGTAAGCCAGGTCTGTCCGGCCAAGACTGTCGCCCTCCACCCAGAAAGCCTCAGGCAAGAACTGTGAACTCAGCTCTGAATTCCTGTTTTCAAGGAGACCTGGGACGGGAGGTCACCCCCACACAGGAAGTGGTAGGCACAGGGCACACATGCAGCCAAAGCTGCCAACACAGAGGGTGGGGTGGGGGAAATGGGGACGGTGAGCAGGGCTGGGGTGTCCTTCGGTACACCCGGGCAGGCACAGGGTGGACGATGGCTGGCCATGAAGCTGCCCAGAACACAGAGACGAAGAAGCAGCCGACAGACAGACAGACGGACGGACCCAGTGCACAGGCAAGAAGAAGCAGCTGACTGACTAACAGGCAGGCAGGCGGCGGCTGAGGCACGCAGCAGCAGTCACCCCAGGGTCCAGGGCGCTGCCCTAAAACAGCCCTGCGCCCTGGCCCAAGCGTTCACGAGGACCGCTGTCTTCTCACCCTCAACTCTGCACTGGGCGCTGCACCAGGGGAGGTGCTGTGACAGCACAGGAGCTGGGTGAGGGGGACCGAGTGATGGAACTGGGTGAGGGGGACCAGGTGAGGGGACCGGGTGAGGGGGACCGAGTGAGAGGGACTGGACTGGGTGATGGGACCGGGTGAGGGAACTGGGTGAGAGGGACCGGGTGAGGGGACTGGGTGAGGGGGACTGGATCAGGTGATGGGACCGGGTGAGGGGGACCGGGTGAGGGGACTGGGTGAGGGGGACCGAGTGAGAGGGACTGGACTGGGTGATGGGACCGGGTGAGGGGACTGGGTGAGGGGGACTGGATCAGGTGATGGGACCGGGTGAGGGGGACCGGGTGAGGGGACTGGGTGAGGGGGACCGGGTAAGGGGACCAGGTGAGGGGGACTGGACCAGGTGATGGGACCAGGTGAGGGGGACCGGGTAAGGGGGACCGGGTGAGGGGGAACGGGTGCGGGGGACCAGGTGAGGGGGATCGGGTGAGGGGACGGGTGAGGGGGACTGGGTCAGGGGATTGGGTCAGGGGAATTGGACTGGGTGACGGGACCGGGTATGGGACCAGGTGAGGGGGACAGGGTGAGGGGGACTAGGTGAGAGGACTGGGGAAGGGGGACAGGGTGAGGGGACCGGGTGGGGGGACGGGTGAGGGGACCGGGTACGGGGGACTAGGTGAGGGGACTGGGTGAAGGGGGCTGGGGAAGGGGGACAGGGTGAGGGGACCGGGTGAGGAGGACTGGACTGGGTGATGGGACTGGGTAATGGGACCAGGTGAGGGGGACAGGGTGAGGGGACTGGGTGAGGGGGACAGGGTGAGGAGACTGGGTGAGGGGACCGGGTGAGGGGCACTGAACCGGGTGAGGGGGACTGGGTGAGTAGGACAGGGTGAGGGGACCGGGTGAGGGGGGCTGGGTGAGGGGACTGGGTGAGGGGGACTGGGGAGGGGGGACAGGATGAGGGGACCGGGTGAGGGGGACTGGATCGGGTGATGGGGACTGAGTGAGGGGGCCGAGTGAGGGGAAAAGGGTGAGGGGACTGGGCGAGGGGACCGGGTGAGGAGACCGGGTGATGGGTGATAGGTGAGGGGTATTGGGTGATAGGTGATGGGTTATGGGTGAGTGGGCCCCTCCAAGTCCACTCTGCGGGAATTTGGAGCAAAACAGGAGCTCTCGGCCAGACTACACGGTCAGGAGGCTGGAGCGGTAGCACAGCGGGGAGGGCATTTGCCTTGCCCACGGCCAACCTGCGTTCGATCCCCAGCATCCCAAATGGTCCCCTGAGTACCGCCAGGAGTAATTCCTGAGTGCATGAGCCAGGAGTAATGCCTGTGCATCTCCGGGTGTGACCCAAAAAGCAAAAACCAAAAAAAAAAAAAGGGTCCCCTTGGGGCCCAGTGAGCAGGGCCGGGACGCAGACCGGGCTCGGGCTGTGGGGGCACGAGGAGAGACGGGCAGCAGCTCACAGCCATGGCAGGCGTCAGACCCCACAAGCAAAGAGCTGATGGGGCCCGAAGCAGCCAGGTGTCCAGTTGCCCAGTGACAGGCCACAGAGGGCAGCGGGCCCCAGCAGCACTGCTGAGGGACCTGGAGCAGCAACAGCCACAAGTGCCGGTTCCCTGAGCCACAGGAAAGCAGGGAACCACCACAGCCCCCGCTTCCTGATTTTTGGGGGTCCACGTAACTAAGTAACTATACCCAGGGGAGCCCCAGAAGCCTGACAAGGAGCGGAGACCATGGTGGGGACCAGAGCAAACCTCAGTCAAATGCCACAGAGCCCGCCAAGAGTTTGCTGGGGTTACTGCCCCCCACGGGCCACAAAACCCAGCACACACATACACAGTGCCCACACACACGCACATACACGCGTGCACGCACACAGCATTCCAGATGCACAGTCCTGCATGCATGCAGTGCCCTGCACACATGCAGCATCCTGCACACACTTGGTGCCCCACATGCTCACATGGACACGTGCACGCAGTGCCCTGCATGGCGAAGAACTGATACAGCTGGTGGCAATGGTGTCCTACTCTGTGGCCTGCCCAGAGGACCAGCGTCCACGGAGTAGTGGCTCAGAGGACGAGGTGGGTCTGGGGCACAGGCACTGCCCAGGACATCGGATCTCAGCGGGCCACAACCCATGGAAAAAGGGCAAGGCCAGCCACTGAGGGGCCCCAGGCGCAGAGTAAGGGGGTGGGGGTGTCTGTCCAGGACACCTAAAGGGCAGGGCAGCTTCAGGGGCAACACAACTGGGAACACCCAGAGGTGGGCACTGTCCAGGGCCTGGAGTCAAGTAACCAGGCGCCAACTGCCACATGTCTGCATGTCCCTAAAAAAGCCACCAGGGCTGGACCACAGGTGGCTCAACTCCCCAGCCCTGCCACCAGTGCTGGGCCAAAGGGGGCCCCAAAATGAAGCCCCACAGCAGCGCCAGTGGGTCACTGGGAACTAGAGGGGTGACACCAACAAGAGTCTCTGGGACATCCACACGGCTGGGGGGGCTCTACTGGGCAGTGAGGGGGGGCAGGACGGCCGTGAGGACACAACCCCTTCACCTGCAATGGGCCAGGGCCTCCTGTGGGGGAGGAGGGTTCAGGACAGTCTGCAGGGGGTCAGGACCTCCGGTGGGGGTGGGGGTGGGGTTGGAAGCCTGTGGGGTTCAGGGCCACCTGGAAGGGGTCAGGGCCACCTGTGGCTGGTTGTGACCTCCTGTGGGGGGTCAGGGCTGCCTGGGAGGGGTCAGGGTCGCCTGGGGGGGTCAGGGCCACCTGGAGGGGACTAGGGGGGTCAGGGTCACCTGTGGGGGTGGGGGGCTCAAGACCACCTGCGGGGGAAGGGGGGGTCAGAACCTCCTGTGGGTCAGGGCCACCTGTGGCTGGTTGTGACCTCCTGTGGGGGGTCAGGGCTGCCTGGGGAGGGTCAGGGTCGCCTGCGGGGGGCTTCGGGCCGCCTGCCAGGGGTCGGGCCGCCTGCGGGGGGGTTGGGCCGCCTGCGGGGGGGAGGGGCCGGACCTCCTGTGGGGGGGTCGGGCGCCTGCGGGGGGGCTCAGAACCTCCTGTGGGTCAGGGCCACCTGTGGCTGGTTGTGACCTCCTGTGGGGGGTCAGGGCTGCCTGGGAAGGGTCAGGGTCGCCTGCGGGGGGCTTCGGGCCGCCTGCCAGGGGTCGGGCCGCCTGCGGGGGGGAGGGGCCGGACCTCCTGTGGGGGGGTCGGGCGCCTGCGGGGGGGAGGGGCCGGACCTCCTGTGGGGGGGTCGGGCGCCTGCGGGGGGGGCTCAGGACCTCCTGTGGGGGGTCGGGCTGCCTGAGGGGGCCGGGCCGCCTGCGCGGGTGTTCAGGCCCTCCTGCGGGTGGGGGTCGGGCGCCTGCGGGGGGTCGGGCCGCCTGCCGGGATCGGACGCCTGCGGGGTGCGGGGAGGTCGGCCGCCCGCGCGGGCGGGGGCGGGGGGTCAGGACCTCCTGCGGGGGGCCGGGGCCGTCTGCGGGGGTCGGGCCGCCTGCGGGGCCCGCGCCCGCCCCACGCCCTCCGGGGAGCCCCGGGCCCAAGGTCAGCGGCCGCGCTCACCAGAAGAAGGTGTTGGTGCCGTCGTCGTAGACCTCGGACTCGGTGCTGCGGCGCGCGGGCGCGGGGGAGGCGGCGCGCGGCCCCCCGGCCCCCCGGCGCTCGGGCCTGCGCATGGCCCGCGGGCTCTCGGCGGCGGCGCGCGGCGCGGGGCGCGGGGCCCGCCGGGGTCGCGCCGGGCGGGGGCCGGGGGCGGCCGCGCGCTGCATCCTGGGACTCGCAGTCCGCGCGCGGGGCCCGCCGGGACCTGGAGTCCGCGCGGCCGCGGGCGCGGGGCCTGCTGGGTAGCGACCTGCGGTTGCTAGGCGACCGCGCGCCCGGGCCCGCCCGGTTGCTAGGCGACCGCAGGCGCCGCCTGGGGGCCGCCGGGCCCGAGCTGAGCCCCGGGCGCCCGGGCCTGGGTGCCTAGAGCGGGCTCCGGTGCAGACTCGGTGCCCCGGCTCCCGGGCGGGGGCTGGAGGCGCCCCGGCCCCTCGTGGGGGGGCTGTGAGTTGGGAGGGGCCCGCCGCCCCAGGGTCCAGAAGGCGGCACAGGAGGCCTTCCCACGCCCACTGGGCGGCACCGTCGCACCCTCCAAGAAGGAGTTTTCCTTCCGGCGGCAAGCCCGGGCGTGAGCTCGCCGTCCCCCGCTGAGCTCACCATCCGGGCGCAGTTCACTGTCTCCCCCTGGCTCACCATCTCCACGCATACTTCAGGAACAGCCCCCACCAACCCTCCTCCGTCGGTCAGGCAGTCTGGCCTGTCCAGGCTCCCAAGCTCCAAGCCCGCGGGCGCTGCTTGAGTAAACTAATTGTGCTGCTTAGTACTGCCTTGCTTTTCAGGCTGGCTCTGCGCTGGGGGCGGGGCAGTAACTCCCAGCAGAGCCTGGGTGACCACATGGTGCCAGGGATCAAACCTGGGGGAATGCAGGCAAGGCGTGGCCCCCGGGCACCTGGACCAGCTCTCCAGGCCAGCTGTTCTATTTGGACAGTGAAGGCTTGCGCCCTGGACCCGGATGTTTGCCCCAGAAAAGCCTTTCTCCTGCCTGCCTTTCCTGGAAACAGAGTCAGGAGAGGTAGACAGAGTTCCTTGGTCCTAATGAGCCTGGGCCTTGCACTGGTGAGGGGACTGGCCGAGGGCTACCACAGGCAGGGCAGGCCTGGGTGCGGGGCTGGAGTAGCCACACCCCCAAACAGTCGCTCTCCCCTCTGGGTCTCTCCCCATGCCCTGTTGCTCTCCCCTGCTCTCCTGTGCCAGGCGCGGGCACGGCAACACACCTGCTCAGCTACTGGCCCCGCTCAACACCAGCAGACACCACAACCAGAGTCACCTCACACCGGCTCATCACAGACTCAAGCAAGAGGCCAGTACCCAGCCCCCGCATGGCCAGGGGCTGCCCCCACCTGGTCCCTCTCCTGGCCACCGTGCTGGGCTGGCTTGGACCTCCTGCCCCATTGGCACGTGTGTGGCTCATGGGTCAGCTTAGAGACCTGCCAAGCTGAGGTCCTTGGGGTGCAAGAGACATTCAAGGGCATCGTAGGGCAGCTTCAGGAACCAGTGCCACGGAAGGCCAGGCCTGGACTTCCAGAGCTCCCAAGACAGCAGGACTCGGGACCCTGTCCCAGCTGCCCCAGTGGCCTCAGGCAGCTCGAGAGCCCAAGCTGGGTGACTCCTGTGTGTAGCTGTGTGGACACAGTGCTCGTCCAGTTTCCAGACCTGGGGGGGCAGGGATATGGTAGTCCCAGGGGACAAAAGTGAGCCCTACAGAGAAACCCACTTCCAGCAAGCCCTTCTCCCAGCATACATCTGCCCTGGGGGCTGGGGGGCAGTGCTGTCCACCTCACCAGGACCATGTCTGCCCCAGGACAGGGTCAGGAGCAGGGCGTGGGAAGAGCACCCCCATGTCACCCTCACGTCACAGGGACACCCAGTTCCCACGCCTGAGAGGGGTACAAGCAGGGCCTGAGGATGGCATCTCCAGCCAGGGTACCCGAGGGCCGGGCTAGGGGGTCAGAGGGCCCTTGGGGGCCACTGGGTAGGGGCAGAGGAGCCCTGGGGGCCTTGTTCTGCTGACCTGTCTCCTCGTGGTCAGAAAAGGGACGAGGCTTCCTTGGGCAGCACGTGAGGTCAGCTGCCGCCGCCCTTCATCCTGGGGAAAGATGGCAGGTGTGCATTTCCTGGAGGAAAGGGCAGGGTCCAGGGTCCACCGCGGAGCGGGAAGCCTGTCTGAGCTTTGACCCAAGGTCCTGCCCTATGTGGGGCCCAGCTCTGCCAGGGCGGGGTGCTGCTGGCTGCCTGCGGGTTCAGGCTGTGACTGGGGAAGTGAGGTTCAGAACAGTGGACTTTGGTGTGAGAGCAAAGTAATCAACAAGATGAGCAATGTATTGATTGTGGAAAGTTCTAAGAAAGCACAGGAAGAAAACACACAAGAAAACCCACAGCCCATCTTGCTTGGGGAAGGTGAGGCTGCTATCCGGGACATCCTGCGTCTGCTGGGACAGTGTTGCCACCCCCAACCCCTCCCCGAGCTGCTGTGTGCGTTTGGACGCATTTTTTCATCCAATGAGCTCACACCCCCCCCTTGTTGATTGGTACGTCCCCCTAGAAACATGGAGAGAATGGACAGAAGTCTAAACAATCGGCCCCTTCTTCCTCTTACCGGAAGAAATTTTATGAAAAGGGAGAGAAAGGAAAATCCTCACAAGAAACAGTCTTCCCCAGGGAGGAGAGGAGTGGCAGGAAGCACTGGCGCCCAAGCAGGGAGGCAGACAGGGCCGGAGTAAGGCCCAACACAAATCTACGAACAAAATAACAGGCCCAAGGGATGGCAGAGTGGGGCAGGCTCTTGCTCTGCTTGAGGCTGACCCCAGCATCATGTATGGTTCCCTGAGCCCAACCAAGAGTGATCCTCACCACAGAGCCAGGAGCCAGGCCTGAGCACTGCTGGGCCAGCCAAGTAGAATGGGGACTCCATGGCTGACTCTTGACTCTCACTGCAGACTTTCCTCTGCATATCTGACAGGCAGAGGCGACTTGGGGCTCACCCCTTGGATAGCTAAGCTTTCTGCTCTCTCCCAGACTGCAAACAGGCACCAAGGGCTGCTTCTGAGCATCCAGACTGCAGCACGGGCCTGGTTCTTGCCGCTACACTGAGGCTGGAGCTGCAGTGTTGTGGGTCAGGAAGAAGAGGGGCCTGGAGGGATGAGCCCAAGTGCAGAGCAAACCGCTGCTAGGGGAGTGCTTGGGGCTGAGGCTGGGAAGGGGGGTGGGGGCGGAGATCACAGCCAGGCAAGAGCCAGTTGCCTTGATGTAGGCAGGTAGATAGGGAAAGGCTCTCTGCAATGAAACAAAGTCTCATAGAAGAAGTATTCTGGGACCAACCCACCCTGTGGAGACAGAAAACAAAGGCTTAATAAGACCATCCCCACACCCTGAAGATATGGGCCTCCTCCCCATGAAATTCCTCCTTTCCGAGAACCCGCTTTTAATCCGGTTGACTCCAGCGACCCAGCCCCAAGGAGATTCCAGAACATTCTGAGTGGAAGGATCTATAAGAGCCAGCTCAAGAGCCCACTTGGTGCTCTCTCCACCTTCGGAGAAGCCCGCGTTCCCTCTGGACGCGTTATTCTCTCTCTCTTACTCTCCATTCCCCCGCTTATCTGCTTATCCCTTTCTCTCCCTCTCCAAAAGCCTCCAAATAAAACCTGTTACTTCACTGCTCGTCTACTCCTGAAATTCTTTTCTGCGAGCGAGACAAGAACCCCAGAAACCTCGGGTAAGGCTTGGGACTGGTCTCTCCTTTCCTGCGAAGAGCAAATTCTCGCCCCAGCTTGAGTCCGTGGCTCCCCGAGCAATCGGGTGGCGGGGATTAACTCCCGTGCCGAGAAGATCAAGTGGACTTCAGGTGTGGCTTGACGGCCACCTTGTGGGGCTGGCGGGACTTAGGCCCATGCCGAGTAGGTGCTCACTGCAGACTTTACCAGTCCTAGCCCACCCAGGGTCCCGGGTGGCAGGGGCAGGTGGGGAGAATGTGATTGTCTTTCTCCTCCCCGCTTCACATAAGTCACTCGTGGGGTCCACTGACATCAGCTTTACAGGTTTGAGTTTGCATCACTGCCTGAGCTTTGGCAGGACCCTGAGGCCTTTGGCCTCTGCTGAAGCCTCCTTGCTCCCACTGCATCCTTCTACCCTTGTGTAAACTCACACAAAGTGGGGGGCACGGCACTCACACAGCAGTGGTGGCTCTATCTCTCCCGCTGCCCACGTTCGGTAGTCTCACCCTTCTCCCACCCCGGAGAGGTCGATGGCGATGGTCAGGCGGAGGAAGGAACGAGGGCCAGGCTGGTAGGTATTAGTCGTAGTTTATTCTGATTCTCTCCTCATCTGTCTCTGGTCCCTCTCTCCTGTCTCTCTGCTCCCTCCTCCTTCTATCTCTGCTCCCAGTCTTCCTCCCCCAGCTACTTCATTCTCCTTCTCCATCCCCCTTCATCCTCCTCTTCCTTCTGATCCTCTCTGAACCCTCTTCTTCCTTCTCCCCCTAGCCCACTCCTACAGTACAGTTAAATCCTTTCTCCATGAGGAATTGGGGGAACAATTACACATAGGTGTGGTCACAATCAATAGGGGTAGAACTCTTAGCCTCAGGGAAAGCCGCTCCTAGGACAGATCCTCATTATCAGATCAATCCACCCTAGAGCAGATTCTCCTGGGTGTGTTTCTCCTCTCCTTGTTTAGCAAACATATAAGCATATATAATATAAATCATTTTGTATGGATACAGTAAGAAATGTATTAAACTTATAGAATTGCTCTCCTAGGGCCATCTTGATCTCAGACTACGGTGCTCAGGCCAGATAGTCTTTCCCACCCCTAGCAGGATCCTAGTCTAGTCGTTACCTTTGGATCATGACAGCATTTGTCTATGATCAAACTCTTAACTTATAGTTAAGAATCGTGGCACCTTGGCCTGGCCCATTTCGATGCCAGGGTAGCTCACCGCTTGCCCTGGGTCCATTCAGTCCCTCGTCGGGACCCTGCTTTTGGGGTGTTAGGAACTAAGGGCAACTGAGGCTAAGTCGAGAAAGCAGATGCCCGGGAGTGAATAATATTCAAGGCCAGTCAAATCCTAAGTTACAAAGCATAATGTTAACGGTCTTTCTGTATCTATACAAAA